GGTGGGCAGTATCTACATATTACAAGCTCGCGGCGCGGGACCACCGTCGTTGACATAAGATCCTGTTATGCTGTCTGCTATCTCTCGGCGCAGCTCGTGTCGCGCCATAAAAAACATTAAAAGTACGAGTAACATAAATTCGTTAAGCGCGGCGGCGGCCGCCTCGCTTCTCTCGCGAGAGTACCCTCCTCGAGAGACGAGCGCTGATCGCCCGCTCGGAACACTCTCACCCTCTTCACCTCGTCGGGCTCTTTGTGTCTCCTCCATCTCCACTCTCGTTGCGATTCTCTTATTTTATTGCCCGTCGATTATACCGTCCACACAATACACAATCATCGATTTTAAACGTGGATTACACTGTTAGAGATCAAAAGAGCAATGATAACCCAATTCTTTGAGTTTAATAACATTTTGATATTCTTAACTTCCATGTACGTCAAAATGTAAATCAATCCATTTCTATAGTTAGTTTCAAAATAAATATCGTCCATATTAATGTACACATTTAATAAATAATAAATTTCAGCTAAATTTAATACATTTTCTTAAATTGTTCAATTTTATTGTTTTAATGGGTAGCAGCGACTTATGGGAATGATTTTTTTTTTAATACAGAACTGATTAAAAATAACTCAAATTGGGTATAATTTCACATTATAAAAACAGTGTAGCTGTTATATTACGAGGGCCAATAAAAAAAAATTTAATTTTTTACTATCAAAGATATTGAAGGGGTGTTAAGTTTACAAAGCTAAAAACCTTATCGCAACTTAATGAAAATTAGCACAATTCGTGAAACGTCATAGGTTCGCGTGTGTGTTTCTTCGGTTTTCATTTCTTTCAATCGCGCGCCGTGAATTCCAGAATACTCCGCGTGCGCGTGCACGTAACTCACCGCGGTACGCCATGTCGGATAAACGAAGAGATTCTTGCGGTAGGTACGGCTCGAAAGTGTCCGCAAGAAACTCGATCCGGCCGGCGCTCTAATCGACCGAAGAATTCCACAGCGATGTCTATTCGAAAGGGAAATCCAAAGGTCGAATTGCGGATAGTAACGAGATTTCGAGACAG